GTTCAGGGGCCTGTGCCAAGGCCATGCGCACAGGCCGGCCCTCAGCGCCCGGAGGCCCTGCGCTCCGCTGCTGGCTCTCTCTCCTCCCCGCTCTGGATCTTCCCTCTCACCCTCGCTGCTGGGTCAGAGTTCACGCTCTTCAACGCGTTGGAAAGCCTGACACAGGCCCCCTTCCTCCAAAACTCCCCAAGGCACACGCCACACCCCTCCTCTGACCCTTGCCCATCCTCCAGGCAACCCTGGCTCTCTGTCTACACCTGGTTCATGCCAGTTAGACTGTGGGCATCACGGGGGCAGGGCCATGGTTTCTGTTCGTACGCTGTCCCTCCGTTGTGTCTTCAGAGGGCTGTGCACACCAAGGGAGGTCCTGACTAGCTGGGGCTCCTGCTTAGAGGGGAGTCCTTTCCCAGGGGTCCTCCTTGCCCTGGGCCACCCGGCTTGTGAGGCCCCACAGGCACGCGTTGCTACGCCTGGGTGCCAGCTCAGCTTAAGCTCTCCACCCACCCCTGCCTCCGACTTGTGTGCCTAGTGCCCGGCTCCCAGGCACCCACACCTTGCCAGGCCCCATGGGATGAGGGGAACTCAAGAATGGAGTTTAAAAGTCCCTTACTCCCACCCCAGTCACAAAGCCCCAGAGCTAAAGCTAGACTAACACCTGAACCGTGGACCTCCCGGGGAGGGGCGATCTTTCGACTTTCGTCTATGACCAAGGTGGGCCACAGCCAGCACCCCCAGAACCAGGCACTGACAGGCAAGAAAGATGTAAGTGAACCAACCAGGTCCTGACTCCCCACCTGGGACTTCCTCTGTCCTCACATTTCTTGCCATAATGTGGCATCGCTGCAGGAGTCACAGGCCCCTACCTCCCAGACCTAAATCCATCCCAAATTCCAGATCTGAGCCTCCGTCTTCGTCCATAGGCCTCTCCTGCCTCGTCCCTATGGGAGATGAGCCCAGCAGAGGACTGCCCTGGGCAGGGAGCGGTGCCCAGAAGGCCACGAGCTCGAGAGAGTCGTGACCGGCCTGGGAGGTCCTGGCTGGCAGGGGCCACAGTCGGTACTCCTGGGCTCTGCCCCAGGTGCTAACCGCCAGGGCCTGTTGAAATGGCAGGGACTCGGTTGAGGCTAAAAATAGATGCGCAGCCCCAACAGTAGCACCAATTAGTCGGTGTGATCACTTCCCCTCTCCGGCCTCAATGTCCTCCTCTGCTCAACAGAGTCAAGGGACGTCCAAAAGACACAGGGGTGAAGGCCTGCAGGGGGACAGCTGTGGAAAGGGGGACCCCACGCCCAGGCTCCCCTACTTTCCCACTCACTCCATCGTGGGCACGGGGGGCATCCCACAGCAGCAGGGGGCGGGGACGAGGTGCCTAAAATCCTTTCTCTGGCCCCTGCTTTTCTCTTTGTATTTGGATGGATAGAGAAGAAAGAATGACCAGAATGAGTGGAAGGAAACAAAATGCCACCATGAGAGAGAGAGAAAGCAAGACACACCACCAGGAAAACGCAAAAGGGTGACTGGAGACAACGGCAGGAGTTCAAACATCTCTTGATGTCAGAAACCAAGGTGAGATGCGGGGATGGCGTGTGTGGGGGAGGCGGGGGAGGGGAGAGCACAGACACGGACAAACCCCCACCCCCACCCAGCACCCCGAAAAAGATAAATAAAGACATGGCAGAGGAAGGGGATGGGAAGGCAAGTGGGGGGGGGGGCAGATGGAGGAGGGGAAGGAGCACTAGGGGAGGAGCAGCAGATCCAGGCGCAGGTGGGGGCAATCCAGTCCAATCCAAAGCAAACCAGAACTTCAAACCATACCTTCGCTGTTTAACGTCAGGTGAGCCGGACCTTGGAGAGAGGAAGGAGAGAAAGAAAGAAAGGAAAAACAAAACAAAAAGAAGAAGAAGAGAAAGAAAAGGGGAAAGAAACAGAAAACACGAGTCATCAAAATCAGCCAGAGGGGAGAAAAGCTTTTGCTGCCACAATTTAAAAACCCTTTTAACTTGTGACAGACATCGGGGGAGAGCCCCCAGCCCAGGAGCTGAGGAAAGGGGCCCGATGCCGGAACAGAGGGTGGAGGGCATGAGAGGGGCAGAGAGAGGGGTGAGGGTGCAGGCGGAACCAGAGGGAGATGGGGCAGGGGGTCGCTGCAGCGGGAGAGGAGATTTTGGTTTCTTTTTTTCATTCTTGCCGGAAAAAAAAAAAAGGAAAAGGAGGAGAAGCAAGAGGCTGGGAGGGCTGCTTTTTCCTTTTTCTTTTTTTCTTTTTTTTTTTCTTCCGGGAGACGGAGAGAAAAAAAAACGGTCAACGAGAAAAACGATTCGGATGGAGGAGAAAATAAAACACGACACAAAAATCAAAGCCACCTGGAGAGAGAGAGAGTGTCCTGTTAGCGTGGGATTGAGTGGGCAAGGGGGACCTCCACCCGCCCCACCCCCATCCCTGTCACCCCTGTGATCCTGGCAGAGGAGGGGGAGAGGGAGCCCCACAAAAGTGAGCTTTGGGAAGGCATCTGTCCAGGTCCAGTTCCAATCCCCCCACCCCCCTGCTGCCACCCAGCTGCTCCTCCCACACCCTCTATGGACAGAGGGCACCCACACACCTGGCTTCTATAAGGAACTGGGGTTTGGGGACAGAGTGAGTGTAGAAGCAGGTGGGAGGAAGCAGGCTCTAGAGCAGTGGTTCTCAACCTTCTGGCCCTTTAAATACAGTTGCTCATGTTGTGACCCAACCATAAAATTATTTTCATTGCTGCTTCATAACTGTCATGTTGCTACTGTGATGAATCGTCATGTAAATATCTGATATGCAGGATGGTCTTAGGCGACCCCTGTGAAAGGGTCGTTCGACCGCCAAAGCGGTCGCTACCCACAGGTTGAGAACCGCTGATCTAGAGAGACCCTGGAGCCAGGCCGGGCTGGGGATTCTTCCACAGGGAGGACTAAGGGCTGGGGCCAGCGCTCTCGGACAGCCAAGACCTTGGGCAGAAGGCCGGTCTGAGAGGTCAAACCCGCTCCTAAGTTGTTCTGTGGCCCCCTTTCCCCGCCAGGCCCTCGCTGAGATGACCCAAAGCTGAGCTTTGAACATGGAAAACAGAAACGGAAGCCCTATTTCCAACATTGTGAGCAAGAGCAGCGGGTGGGGGGAGGGGGGAGGTCCAGGGTTACCTCGGCCCCTGAGAGAGCCTGGTCAGCCCCAGCCCAGGGCACCTCGGCCTTCGGGGAAGGCTCTGGCCCACGGGACAAGGACCCCAGGCCCCAGAAGCCACACCAGCCCCACAGCTGGGCTAAGGCCCCAGAACCTCAGCCCTCCCACTCCCCCCACCCTCCCACCCTGCAGCGTGGTGTCTGGCCAAGAGGGTGGGGAAGGAGCGGCCCTGGAAACCATCGCAGCTGCTGCGCAACGGGGTGCGGGCCCTGGGCAGAGAGCGGGCCGCACAGGAGCAGCAAGGGTCCAGGGCCCAGGGGGCTCTGAGACGAAGCTGAGGGCTGGGGAGCCTGGGTGCAGGAGGAAGGCACGAGGGAGCAGGAAGGCAGGGCCAGGGGCCCAGGCCTGGCTCCCGGTGGAGATGTGGTTCGTGGTGCCCGCTTCTCTCAACAGCACTGGTCTCTCCCCACCTCTGGGTCTGAGGCCGGTTGGGGGGCCAAGGGGCACCACAGCTACTAAGGGCTGCCTCAGGACAGAACAGCTCTTGGAAAGACACAGGTTTTATTCCCAAAACACGGTGGGGAGGGGGGGAGCACCTTACTCGAATGCCCCACCCACCTTCCCCCAAGAACTACCGGCATCTTCTTCTAAACCCCTAAATCCAGGACCCAGACCCAGAGCCCTAACCCCTCATCTCACGCTCCCTGGCAAAAACAGATTTGCTCACAGGTTACTGGAGACCCAGGCCTGGAAGCCCGTGGCTGTGCGCCTGCTCTCTGTCCCCCACAGGCCTGTCCTACTGTGGTGGGGTGGGGGGACATCTCTCCCCTTGCAGACCCTTCCACTGCCCAGCTCCAGCAGCCTCATTAGCATGCCGCACTCTCCTCTGTCACCACGGCAACCAGCTGCTCGGCTCCCTCAGGCGTGACAGCACCAGCCATCTTGGTGAGGGGAGGCCAGCCCCTGCCCCGTCTCCCACGGCTCAGCCCAGCTGGGCCCAAGGGTGCTCGCCCTAAAGCCTGCCTCCCACCGCCCTGAAATCTCTGCTCCCTCCTCACGCCCAGCTCCCCCCCTTTACGTCCTAGTCCCCCCCAGGTCCACCTGTGGCCTCACCCTCCCACCACTGGAGAAGGCTGGCTGTGACGGATGCATTAGCAAGGGTCCTTCCTAGGGTACTTTCTCCAGCTGCTTCTGTGTCTTCTCTCTGTACAAGAGGCTGGGGGGGGCAGGGGGGCAGGGGGAGATGGGGAAGTCAGGATCCCCCAAAAGGAGATGCTCAGCGGAGGCTGGGAGCAGGATGGCTGGGTTCCTGGGGAAAAGCTGGGCCTGAGACACAGCATCCAGAGGCGAGAAAAGAGGGGGAAGGAGGACTCAGACCTAAAGGGGGAACCTCGGGGTCCAGAGCATAGTGCCGCAAAGGGGGTCCAGCCCCTGCACACCCACCTCCCACTCTGTCTCACTGCCTCCTCTCCTCCCGACACCCCAGGGGCCCAGCATCGAAAGGAGGGAGCCGGTTACAGGGACAAGCTGGGAGAGACACACGAGCAGACATGTCACAGAGACACACACACAGAAGCATCACACCCTAGGTATGTACACACACACGCACACACCCCTGACATGCAGGCACACGCCGCGTCACATCCAATCCAGCAGACTCCCGTGCCGCCCCCAAGAAATGGCCAGGTGACGTCACAGGTCTCAGCCGACTGGTCTCCAAAGCCCAGCGTCCCTTCCCGCCCCTGCCTGGCCCGCCTGCTGGAAAAGATGCTCCCTTCTCTCCCCTCGGCCCAGTCACTCTCCCCGCCGCAGCCCTGCCTGCTTCTCTGGCCTGGCCGTTTCCCTCCCCATTTCAAGCCTCTCTGCCCCTCCCTCCATGAGTGTCCTCCCTCTTCCCACCTCTACTTACCCCTCCCCTTCTCCTGGACCAGCCCCCCCCGCCCCAGCCTCTCTCCTCCACCCTTTTTCTCTCCCTTCCTCCCTTCATCTCTCCCTTTGTTCCGGAGGAGACATGACATCAAGAGCAAGTAAAAGTCACATCAGCACTAAATCTTATCTCCAGCCCTCAGAAGGCTGCGGCCACCAGACACGCAGGCTCTCTCACACACAGAGGTAAACACTGCCACGGAGACGCACACACGGAGAGGACAGATGCAGACACAGATGCAGACACTCCTCGGGGCAGTGATGTGGGCCACGCCACGAAGACACGGCGATGGAGGCCACACCGCCACACTCAACGCACATGCACAGCATGTATGTGCAGACATGCACAAAGAGCTGTATGTACATGTGTGTGTATGCACGCACACACACGCACGCACGCACACACATACGCGCGCGCGCACACACACACAGGCGCCTACAGGCCAGGACCAGGGGACCTGAGGGCATCCACAGAGAAGAGACCTCACCCAGAGGAACCAGCCAAACTGAGGGCACCACAAGGAACCACGGCTTCCAGCCCACACTGGGCCGAGAGCCCTCCCTGCTCTCCTTCCCAGGACTCCCGCGTCCCCTGCGCCGCCCAGGGCAGGGCCGGGCCCAGGGAGCTCCCAGCCCAGGGCCATCTGTGTCCCTCCCACTCCCGCTGCTTCTCCAGGAAGAGAACACAGCGCGGCAGGTGTGGTGGCAGGGGTGCCACTCCGCTCCTTGCTGCCTGCCTCTCGGTGGCCAAAGGAGCTCCCCAGCAGCCCACCTCCCCGCCTGGGCATCCAACCCAGTCTCCCCTCTCCCTGACCTGGTCCACCCGGAGGAGAAAAAGAAACAGGGAAAACCAAACCGAGAGGTAAGGTTCAGAGAATGACGGGAACCCAGAGAGAGCCTGGAGGACAGAACAAGAGACAAAGAAAGGGGCCCGGGACAGAGCCCTGGAGAAAAACCAGAGAGAGAAAAGGCAACAGGAAGAGAAGACAGGGACAGGGTGGAGAGAGACCCCAGAGAGAGCCCGTGGCCTGGGCTGAAGGAAGAGGCAGGCCACCCCCACCTACCAGCCCACGGGGCAGGGCAGGGGCGGGGCAGGGGCTGCTGCAAGTGTCAGAACAGGGAAGCTGCCCCTACCCACTCCCTGGCCCGGGACAGCCCCCACCCTCTGCCGGACTCTGCGGACCCAGGACTGGACGGTACCCAGGCTCTCCCAGCCCCGCCCGCCTGGTCTGCAGGGCTTTCCTGAGCCTCCTCCGCTGGGCTGGGCAAAGCAGTGTCTCCTCATGCGCTCTGGGCACTTTAGAATCCTCCAGCACCATCCCTCCGCGCAAGACCCATCTCCTCGCTAAGGAAGAAGAGAGGCCAGTGCACAGACTGGCACTGAAGACAGGGAAGTGGAAGGGCCTTCCCTCTGCCTGGCAACCCAATGAGGAGGAACTGGGCCAGAGGTGGGGCCGAGGCCGCCAAGGGGGTGCCCAGACATCCTTCCCGGGGCAGGGGCAGGGGCAGGGGAGGGAGCCCTTGGGTGGCCAACGATACCCCCTCACATAGGACCCCACACAACTGATCCGCCACTCAGTGAGCCAAAGCCCCACTCACCTTCCATGGGGTGCTCCTCTGCAGGCCAGCAGGTGCAGGAAGGGGCACGGCAGGGAGAGAGAGAAAGGAGGGCTGTTAGCAAGGGTACCAAGGACAGGGCTGCAAGGACAAGGCTCCAAGGACAGCGCTCCAAGGTCCCCACACACCCCCACACACAGCCACCCGACCCGAAGGCTCTGTTGAGGATGAGACAGAGACCGAGGTGTTTGAGTCAGTGCCTCACACACGGGGTCACACGGCCGAGAGGACCCAAGCCCCATATTACATTTCAGGAGACTGAGGCCCAGGGCAGGGAAGTACCCACTCAAGGTCACGTGAACAATGGGAAGCAGAGCCAGGAGCAGCAGGCAGGCGTCCCGACTCCCAGGCACGCTCCTCCCTGCCTTCCAGCGCATCTCTGAGACAGATGGGGACACGCTCGCATGGGGCTCACCAGAGACACACTCATCTCAGTGACACACTGACACACATAGGCCCTGATTGATCATCCCTCACACAGCTCACACCCAAAGCCTTTGTACACAGGACCCACCGACCCCCGAGGGGCGAAGAGTCGTGGGTATGCAAATCAGAAAACACAGTCCTGCCTCGAAGTGCTGTGTGACTCCCATCCCAGTCACTTACCCTCTCTGAGCCCCCGGTCCCTCTTGTGCAAATGTGAGAGGGATGAAGTAGAGCATTTCTGCGACCCCTTCCGGGTCTGGTTTGGGGGGTTCTATGATAAATGCCTTCTTATCATGAGTGAGGCAAGGGGCCCCCGACTGGATGGGCCACTTCAGTGGTGGGAGGGGGTGCAAAGGCAGCGGGCCAACTGGGCCTTCCAGGGCCATGGCACAGCCATCGGGCAGCCAGCCCGCACCTAGTGGGCCTTCCTGGGCTGGGCCAGGGCTTGGCAAATGACTCCGGAGAGAAGACAGAAGGAAGAGAGGACAGGGGCGCTCCTCCCACTGAGCTACCCCTCCCGGAGCAGGCTGGGCTCTGGCCTGCTTAGAAGGAGGACCAAGTCAACCCTCTCCAGACACTTCTGGCACGCCCACCCGCGGGAGCCTGTAGAGAAGCAACAGGCGGGAATAGAAATAGCACAGCCTACAAACACACAGACCCAGTGGGGAAACACACACACACACACGCATGTGGGCCCCAGGATATACGCGCATACACGCCAAAAGCTGTTCAGTCCATATTTAGACCTGCAAGCACACACCATCTCCTCCTACTTCCAACCTCATTTTGTGTTATTTGCTCATCCACTCTGAGGAGTTTAGCTATACTCCAGAAACACATACTGCCATTTATCATAACTTATGCCACCCCCACAATCCACACACTGGCTGAACGCAGAATCAATACCCGCACAGTGATCTCATACACAATATTAGATGCATACATACCACCACCCCACACGCCCTCCAGGGACAAAGACACACCCTGCAGTGAACACAGCTCCCTGTTTGTCTGTCCACCTACCTATCCACCTACCTACCTACCTACCATCTCCCATCTTCTAAACCTGCACCCACGAGCCCCCACATATCTACATGTGTGAGCCATGCTTCTGTACCACACACAGCTTCTCTCTCCTGACAGCTGCATCCCCGAAAGCTGTGTCTGCGCGGCCTTCTTAAACAGACGGAATCCATTGCATCTGGGGGCCTGGGGAGCTGAGGGGGCCCTCGGGGAAGCCTGGCTATCCCGCAGAGCCCTGTGTCGGGGCGCTCTGGCCCCAGGTGCGAAGGCCCTGCTCAGTCATCTCTCCGGCACCTGCACTAACTGGGAGGCACGGTGACCTCTAGGTGACCCAACACGGCGAGTGTTTCAAAAGGCATTGTCCCCTGCCACCTATTGCAGTCGGGGTCAGGGTCGGGGTCGGGGGTCAGGGTCAGGGCCATGCTGTGTTCAGGGAAGCGAAACTCCTTGTATTGATGCTACTGTAACTATTTGAACAATGATTAACTGTAGCATTTTTATTAAATTGAATTTTTTAGGCAAATATCCACTAAGGAAGTGACTCCTTAGGGAGTGTTATATCTTTGGTATGGGGATCATGTTTTGAGAAGACATATTACACATTTTTTATATAAAGTAAATTATAGATTTCTCAAAGATAGTATGTTTTTGGCAGCTGAGGTTAAATATAATTTAT